TGGCCACTTAGCTGTCATGTGAAATCAGCACCTTCTGATGCTAACAGCTAACTAATCACAAAATGGGCTTCATCTGTACAGATAAGTATACAGATGAGTTAAGAAACTACTGCTACTTGGTTTTCTGTGGTTTAATGCTTGGGAATGCCCCAACCTGTCTATCATTGTCTCTCTTTCAGGATTTTCATCTGCTTTCTGACTGGCCAAAGGGCATAGATAGGGTCTGGATTTGCTCACTGACTTTGCTAGTCAAAAATATTTGGTTTTAATACATGTTTTCACAGAAGACTGTCTGTGGCACTGTAGGGCACATCTTGAAGAATCACATTTATTTGAGGTAAAGAACTTTCATAAAGTAAACTATAGTATGTCGATAACATACCTTAATATCTAACTTTTGTAAGGAAAACACAGAGTTAAAAGGGTTTTACATAAAAGTTGGGCCTGATCTTTAACCATTTCGTATTTTGTAAAAACTTTTAAATCCATGAAAAGTGAGCACAATATGTTGCTATTTGTGACATGATATACAATCATATATACTATCTGATAGTCATTGCTACTGTTTGATCATTGCAGTTTTACTCATAATTTTGCTTTCTTTTCTGAATGTACCTTTTATTCATCCCTAAAAGAAGAAATCAAATACTGAAGTGCTTTGCTGCAGAGACTGATTTTCCTGTTCTCTTTAGTTTGTTAGTGACAGTTTTTGAAATCCAATCAAAAAAAGGTAAGGTGAAGTTCTAGCAACTTTTATGTTATTAAATATGGTGAAGTAACATTTTGGCAGAGCTTATAAACTCATTTAATGTTTATAAATGAGCTGAACATATTGTGGGTGAAAACTATTTTGTCACTATGCAGCATCATTATCAGGGTCACATCTTTCATTTCTTTCTGCAAAACAGTTGAGGAAATTAGGAAGTTCTGTTTTAGAACCACAGTGCTAGATAAGCATACATAGCTGTGTAGGAAATTTGTTTCTTTATTGCTCTGTGGGCCATTTCCATTTAATGATAACTCCCAGCTATAAAAAAATAGTTTTTTTAATACTCCTCAGCAGTCTGCAACCGATGAAGTACTAATATAAGTATGATTTGTGTTTCATACTTCAGTATTGTTATGCATATGTGTAGCAGAACAAAAATGTATTGAATTTTCCTGATTTAATACAGAGCATTCCCACCCATCTGTTGTAGACACTACTGGAAAGTTTCAATTTTAATTTTGTTATAGCCCATAGTTGTTTACGTGCTTTCTAATACATAATTCTAATTCAAACCAAGAAAGATTAAAGGGTTTTTAAATGAAGGATACCAATACTCTTGAGAGTATTTCTTCTTGCTGCTGTTTTCTCCACTTTGTCTAAAAAATGCTGCAAGACTGGAAATGAAAATGTCAGTGATCCCTTATTTTTTCTTGTGATTCAGTTTATGTGAATGGAAATTGGGAACATGAAAAGGAAAATACATTTTTAATTTAGAAAGAACTGAAGTTATGTATTAAGCTGCATTAGGTGAACATCCAGGATATTTGACCATCTGAAAAACTGGGAGAGGAAGAAATGTGGTTGAAAAGGATCAGATGACTTATAACACAAAATAAACTGCACTATCACACGTATATAAATTATGTATTTTTGTTTTAAAATTGCTGCAGCAAATGGTCAGGACAAGTGTTTCTGTTAGAACTAAGGTCAGAAAACATATGAGCATCATTTGCTGAAAATGACGCTACAGGTACATAGCAAATAAAAAACAGACTAGGGAGAACGTAGGCCCCCTCAGGAAGCTCTCAGGAGAACTGGCTACACAGGATTTGGAGAAGGCTGAGGTTCTGAATGACTTCTTTGCCTCGGTCTTCACTGGCAAAGGCTCTGAGCAAACCACCCAAGTCTTGGAAAGCAGACGCAGGGACTGTGAGAATGAAGACCTTGGGCCCACTGTAGGAGAGGATCTGGTTCAAGACCATCTTAAAAATCTGAACGTGCACAAGTCCATGGGACCTGATGAAATCCATCCGTGGGTCCTGAAGGAGCTGGCAAATGAAGTTGCGAAGCCGCTGGCCATCATATTTGAAAAATCATGGCAGTCAGGTGAAGTTCCCGATGACTGGAAAAAGGGAAATATAACCCCCATTTTCAAGAAGGGGAAAATGGATGACCCGGGGAATTACAGACCAGTCAGTCTCACCTCTGTGCCTGGCAAAATCTTGGAGCAGATTCTCCTGGAAGGCATGCTAAGGCACATGAAAAACAACAAGGTGCTTGGTGACAGCCAGCATGGCTTCACTGAAGGGAAATCCTGCCTGACCAATTTGGTGGCCTTCTATGATGGGGCTACGGAACTGATGGACAGGGGTAGAGCAGTTGATGTCATCTACCTGGACTTGTGTAGAGCCTTCGAGACTGTCCCACAAGACATCCTTGTCTCTAAATTGGAGAGACATCAATTTGATGGATGGACCACTTGGTGGATAAAGAACTGGCTGGATGGCTGCACACAAAGAGTTGTGGTCAATGGCTCAATGTCCAGCTGGAGACCAGTAACGAGTGGCGTCCCTCAGGGATCGGTGTTGGGACCGGTCTTGTTCAACATCTTCATCGCTGACACGGACAGTGGGATTGAGTGTGCCCTCAGCAAGTTTGCCGATGACACCAAGCTGTGTGGTTCAGTTGATAGGCTGGAGGGAAGGAATGCCATCCAGAGGGACCTTGACACGCTTGTGAGGTGGGCTGATGCCAACCTCATGAGGTTTAACCATGACCAGTGCAAGGTCCTACACCTGGGTTGGAGCAATCCCAGGCACAGCTACAGGTTGGGCAGAGAAGAGATTCAGAGCAGCCCTGCAGAGAAGGACTTGGGGGTGTTGGTTGATGAGAAAATGAACATGAGCCAGCAGTGTGCGCTTGCAGCCCAGAAAGCCAACCGTATCCTGGGCTGCATCAAAAGGAGCGTGACCAGCAGGTTGAAGGAGGTGATCCTGCCCCTCTACTCTGCTCTTGTGAGACCTCACTTGGAGTATTGTGTGCAGTTTTCTTGTCCTCAACATAAAAAGGACATGGAACTGTTGGAACAAGTCCAGAGAAGGGCCACGAGGATGATCAGGGGACTGGAGCACCTCCCGTATGAAGACAGGCTGAGGAAGTTGGGGCTGTTCAGCCTGGAGAAGAGAAGGCTGCGTGGAGACCTCATAGCAGCTTCCAGTATCTGAAGGGGGCCTATAGGGATGCTGGAGAGGGACTCTTCATTAGAGACTGTAGTGACAGGACAAGGGGTAACAGGTTAAAACTTAAACAGGGGAAGTTCAGGTTGGGTATAAGAAGAAAATCCTTTCCTGTTAGGGTGGTGAGGCACTGGAATAGGTTGCCCAGGGAGGTTATGAATGCTCCATCCCTGGCAGTGTTCAAGGCCAGGTTGGACAGAGCCTTGGATGATATGATTTAGCGTGAGGTGTCCCTGCCCACGGTGGGGACGTTGGAACTAGATGATCTTAAGGTCCTTTCCAGCCCTAACTATTCTATGATTCTATGATTCTAAAATACTACCAATAGCTGCACAAGAGCAGGAGGCTGCAGTGGGGAACACTGCGCTGCCTGGGGAAATCCTAATATTAATAGAATATTGCACCATATTTCTGTTCCTTCATACTTGAAATTAAGAATCATTGTAAAACTGCTCTGTTTTCTTATTTATGTATCCTAGCGAGGGAAGAGCTAATGGAAATACTAAACAGAAGCACAAATTAAAACGGGCCTTCTAGAATCAGAAAGAAATTGTTCATGAGGGATGTATTTGGAGCTGTGTGGAGTTATACAAAGTATAACTTCCTTGTAAGACTCTGTGGTATGCTAATTGTGAGTCAAATACATTGGAAAAGTTCCATCTGGTGGGTTTCAACCTCTGTGTTTGAGAAAAACCACATTTGGGGTGTAGATGAAAAGTGGAAGCTGATAAAAGGTGAATAAAACCAGGTGTGAAACAAGGAGTAAAACGAATGAGGAGGAAGCTGTTTCAGAAGGAACTTTTCTTGCACTAGTGTTGTGTTTATGCAATGCTATTTCTGAAAAGCAAGTACTTGTTTGTGAAAGAGGACTATAGAGACTTGCAAAGTCTCAGGATACCCAATGGCAGAGTTTTGTAGCTCTGCATAGGGTTTGTTTCAGATATTAGTAGAATGCTCTCAGCCATTCAGCATGTGGATATTCCTTCCTGGAGATTTACAGCACTTGATTGGCATCAGACAATTGCTAACAACTTTGATATCAGCAAATCAGCTGTTGTATTCCACTGGCCTGGAAATGAGAATTTGCAAAGACCTTCACCTGTTTCCTCTAAGGAAAAGAGGAAGGATTGGTAAGCACAACTGGCCTGGAAGGAATTAATGGTTTCAGTGACTGTATTCTAGGGGGCTGTGCTTCCCCTTATTATTATGGGTGATAAATTATTTTATTGGATATGTGGAACTTGTATGACAACTGTTTTGACTCTGCTAAGCAACTGCAGGATGACAGTGAGTGTTTTCTTTTAGAGGCTGATCAACAATTGGTAACTGGAAGGTCTGAGGCAACTAAGCCAAACTTGCTTCAGATTGTAATTGCAATTGCATACTGTGTTCTACAAAGCATAGCTTGTAAGCAGAGTAGAGGTCTTCTGCTATTTCTGAGCAGTACATGAGACCATCTAAATGACAGTCTCTAAAGGGATTTGGGGGAGATCATTTGTACCTCTGCTGAGGAAATGAGATCTTGTTTGGGTGCTTTTCTTTCCTTATTCTTTGTGCAGCTGCGTGGTGTGCCATGCAAGATAGAACTAACAGGGTAGTCCTCTAGGTCTCTTAGTGGGTACTGGCTTTTCAGACACTGCAAATTGCATTAATTTAAAATAGAATAGTGAACACTAAATGACAGGAATAAATAGGCTATATCATACTTCTGGCAAACATGTATATTTTAGTTATAAACTTTATTAATAGTACATGACTAATTTGAGAGTGGTCCAAGTGAACTTGTTACATAATTTCTACCGTTAGTCTGTTCTCACAGTTCCCACCACTACTTTTTGGAAGCTGAAGTGGCATGACAGAATTCTGTTGGGATGTCAGATATGAACACAGGATGCTGTTCTCTGGAACAGGCTGGAAGAATTGTGGCTAAGGATCTGCTGGTAATAGTTGAATCACAACTGAAAACTGTAAAACTGAAGTACATGCAGTAGGAGAGACTGGCAATTTTGACAAATAATGCTTTCCAAATATATGCTCCTGTTGAACTCCATTATCTAATTTTATATGTTCCTGTTGATTTCTCTATGTGCCTCCTTCACAGCAAAGCTCCACCCTGCAATTACAAAGACATCTTTTATAGTGAATTGTGACAGTGTTTGTTGTTAGCAAGTCCTCTTTCTTGTCCTCTGTGTTTCTTTGAATCTCTGATAATGTCTTCTGCTCCTCAGCCAATCTGCTTCTTTGAAGAACTTCCATGGATCCTTTCACAAAAAGGAAAACAAAACCAACTTCTGTAGTCGCCTGATATTGAACAGCAGTAGCATTTGTGTTCTTAGTAGTGCAAGACACTAGGAATATCTTATAACTTGATAACTTTTACCTTATTTTCATACTTCATGAACCACTTCCCATTATTGAGAAACCCTAGAAGTGGTGAATTTTCTCCATCTTTTCTCTGATACACTTTGATCTGTAAAGCCCAATATCATGATTCCACAATGATTAATAGTGGACAGTGGATTTGTTACTCTCTGCCTGCAGCATGGTGGATTTCTGCTGTTTCTTGTTAGAGTGGCACCATGAAGACAACATAAGCATATTCAGAGCATTTCTTGTGGGGAGATTTTGCCAAGGCCAAGGTAGCTATTGGTTTTGTATTGCCTTTCTCATACATGTGAAAAAGAGGAAGGAAACAAACTTACAAGTACCTATAAACAGAGGCCATGGTAAATCCAGCACATATATAACGTTAGAGCAAGCATTCTTGGTTGGTATTTGAATACCCTTTCAGTTGTTGTCTTTGTAGATCATGTGTATTCCTGTATCTTTTCTATGGTACATTAGCCTCCTCCACCTTATTTTCTTTATCAGTCCACTGTGTCTTCAAGGAGCTAGAGAAGACTCTGCAGGAGTAGGGAGGGAGATACGGGAGGAGCATGCATTTGCAAGGGGAGAACGATCCTGTTTAGTTTGTAGGAAGTGAAGGGGTTTAAGAGTACATGCAAAATGCCTGAGCTGCATTGATGATAGAAGACATCCTTGTTGCCTGTCAGAATTGCTGCTCCCCATTTTCTTCAGGCTAGCAGTCTTGTGGCAGCCAGGAAGGTATGTGTTTCTGTGGAGCATTCTTAGTGTATTTCTGGTAATTCAAGTGCTCAGTGGACAATTGAATAATAAAATCACATCCATTCCTGCTGTGGAGTGCCACATTCTAACTAGGGTTGGTGCTTTGAAATTGCATTTTATGGCATATGTAGATATTGTAAAATAGTTGTAGTTGTGCATTGTACTTTGAGCACAAGCCTTTTTAAGGTTCCCATTAACAAGAGATAATAATAATAAAAAAGTAATTGCCAAGTTTCTACTAAAAATCCAAAAAGGAGGGGAGGAAAAAAGGGGAAATTCCAGAATGAGATTTGTACCAATAAATATACGAAGAGGAATGGAGTTAATTTTATGCATTATCAAACATGCTGTGTAGTTTATAACAGAATTAAGGAATGTTCAGAGATCAGAGATAAATAGACCAGGTGGTTGGGACAGGACATGAGTTGGCTGCTGGAAGGCAGCTTGGGGGACTGCCAAAATACTTTTGGAGTCCAGGCATGAGATGTAACTTGCATGTGAATCTGAAAATAAAAACTGCACAGCAATTCACCAATAACCCTGCAGTGTGATGGTGATGACAGAAAAAACTCTGTAGCCTGCTTTGCACCCACGCAAACTGGCAAGCACAGGCAAGCATGGAGTGTGAGGATCGAAGGATTAAGGAATAGAGGGACAGATAAGGTCAACAAGGTACACAATTATCTGGTTTCAGGTTATCCTATGTGTTTGGTACACGCCCGTCATGTGTGTCTTATTTATACATGTTGGTGTCTCCCACTGTGTTTGATTTATATTCCTCTTCCTTTCTATAATTTATTTATGATATGGAATAGGAATGAGTCCCCATGAGACATAGAGTACCATATGCTACCTACAGAGCCTGATGTTAGCAAGTATTTGCTTTTTTGATTTTCCTGCTGCCCCTAGATTTATAGTGCATATGTTTCAATTTAGCTGCAATGGAACTGAGTCATTGTCACTCAAGCCTGTTTGGGCTGAAATCTCTTTAAATGATTGTCAGAGTCAAATGATTTGAAATGGGCTTTGAGATGGCTAATTGTAAAATATCGGCTACTGAAGTTCAGGAGTTCCTTATTGATGTCCTCTGTGAGAGATGACTTTAAGGATGCTCTTCTATATGTGTACATCTATGCATAAATATATACAAATTGTACATTAAAAATACACATAAGTATTTGAAGGCTCCAAGTCCTGCAGATATTTATATATCATGCACCATTAGTTCTGAGTAGTTTCTTGATGTCAATAGGGAAATAATTTTTATTTTTGTGGGCATGAACACTTGTATTTATGTAAGCCTATTAGAAAGTTATCATCTCTGCCTGACTTCATTATTTGGGGAATTCTTTTTGTGTGCAATGGATCAAATAGATTTTTTTCAGCAAGGGATACAGGGATACTATTTTTAATGATGTTTGAAGCAGAAATGGCTTTTTTTTAAATGCAGTAAGGAATTGAAAGCTTTTGGTTTTCCACAATAACCCATTGAAACTATAATTTCCCAATGCATTAGTAGTTGTGTAATTTGAAAAAGCATTACAATTTAGATGACATATGAAACAATAGAAATACTGAGGATTTCTGTAACTCAGTTGCCTTTCTGTTTTCTCTACTCAGTGCTGCTGGGAAGGCATGTGTGTAAAGAGATTCTTAGCATGAAACATCAAGACTGCTGGTTTATTCCAGTTGTCCTAGTCAGTAGCTGGGACAAACAGTGGGACGTAAGGAAATATTAAACCTTCTGATCTGCCAGTTGATGTTAGTTGCTGGATAGCATAGGAACTATGTGTTGTGATACACAACCTGTGGCTTCCTGCATAAGTGAGAATCCCTTAGTCCAGATAAACAATCTTAGAGCTGAATGTGAACTGTATTATATAAATACAAAGAAGAAAGAGTGTTGCCTTTGTATTGGTGTACCTGTGTAAGGTATGTGAAAATTAAATAGAAGTTTGTCGTGGTTTAAACCCAGTCAGGTAATTCGTTCGCTCACTTCCCCCCCTTTCTTGCCCTCCCCCTGCTCTCGGAGGGACGGAGAGGAGAATCAAAAGAATGCAACTCCCACGGGTTGAGATAAGAACAGTTTAGTAACTAAGGTATAACACAAATCACTACTGCTACCACCAATGATAATAATGATAAAGGAAATAACAAGGGAACAGAATACAACACCTCACCACCCGCTGACCGATAACTCGCCCCCCAAGCCCGACCAAGCTCCGACCGATACCTCCTCCAACCCTGCAGTCTCCCAGCCCTTCCGGCTAACTCCCAGTTACATCCTGGGCATGACGTGCTGTGGTATGGAATACCTCTTTGGCTAGCTTGGGTCAGGTGTCCTGTCTCTGCTTCCTCCCAGCTTCCCCTCCTCCCTGGCAGAGCATGAGGCTCACAAAATCCTTGGCCAAACCAAAACATCTCTATCAGCTCTGTTCCCGAGCCGAAAGTCAAAACACTGCACTGCACCAGCTACCAAGGAGGAGAAACATGACTGCTACTGCTGAACCCAGGACATTATCCACCCCTTATTCCATACCATTCACGTCATGCTCAGATCCCACATTTTCAATATACCATCACTCTTGTCTTGCTGCACTCTTATCTTAGTGCATGGACCAGTCCCTATAAAGCTGCTGCGTCCATCTGGTCCATGTCAGGCTCCATCTCTTGTAACAGTCTTCCAGAGCAGGAGAGACTGTGTGCAGTGTTCACACTCGTGAATAACCTGGGCAATAGTGTCCATTGCTAAGTCCACCCCTCGATCATGAGTCCATCTCTGTGTTGCATCTCTGCTCTGATGGCCTGAAGTGCCATGGGCCCACCGGGCTCAAAATAATTCACTATCCCCTTAAGCAGTTTCTGCAGCTTGTTGCTGGGGACTCCATACAGCTGCCTTCCATCTCCGATGCTTCCAAAGCACCGGAGGGGCCCAGTGGACTAGATACTTGCCCATACTGTCCCACACACCCTGCCACTCATGACTCTCCAGCCTTGGGGAAAATCTCTTGGTCCCCCTATATTGTTGTCTAACCCCAGACAAGACCCAAACCTGACTCTGCTTAACTTTTGAGATCAGACAAAATGGCTGTGGGTAGAACACAGCCTGTGTGTGTGCCAACATGCTGATCCCCATCACAATCAGCAGGCAGGTCCCAAGGATACCCAAAGGCCATTCAGAGCCTTCAGAACTCTCAAACGATGCTGCTGTACTTGTCACTGGGGCTGGTGTAGCTGCTGTGCTTGCCGGCTCTCCCACCGCCAGCTTCTCTTTTCCCGAGTCCAGCTCTTCCTCCTCTGCCTTGCTGGGAAATGCGTGGTCTCCTGCATCCTCCTGGGGCTCGGCGGGTGGCTGCCGGGGAATGCTCTCGGCCGTCGCGGGGCTGGGCTCGGCCGCGAGGCTCGGCTCCTCCGCGGGGCTCGGCTCCTCCGCGGGGCTCGGCTCCTCCGCCGCCTTCTCCCGCTGCTCGGCAGCCGCCTCCTTCCTCTCCTCGACCGCCCCGGCCTCCTCCACCGGCAGCCGTCCCCTGGCGGCCTCCGGCCCCGCTCCCGCCGCCGCTTGGTCCCCGGGGCCGCTCTCCCGGGCCGCTTCAGCAGCCGCCGGCTCCCGGGACCGCTCCCCCTCAGTTCCCCGCAGCCTCACGAAGATGGAGAGTAGGGTGAGGGCCAGGACGGTGAAGAGCAGCCGGACGGCCAGGTACAAGTCCACGGCCACGTCCGTCCCGCCCTGCTGCTGGAGCCCACCCGTATTACAAGCCATTGCCATAAAGCACAGTGAGACAAGAACCTTAGCCCAGGCCCCACACTTGATAAACACTATCACAGCAAATACCGGCTCTAAGTAAGTTACAACGGTCTGAAGCTGTGAGATCAAAAAGAACAACTCTGATAGCCAATAAATCAGCATTGTGACGAATGACTATTAATCCAGTCAAATCTGTCGTTATCTCAACCCTTCGTGCCCCACGTTGGGCGCCAAAAAAGAACTGTCGTGGTTTAAACCCAGTCAGGTAATTCGTTCGCTCACTTCCCCCCCTTTCTTGCCCTCCCCCTGCTCTTGGAGGGACGGAGAGGAGAATCAAAAGAATGCAACTCCCACGGGTTGAGATAAGAACAGTTTAGTAACTAAGGTATAACACAAATCACTACTGCTACCACCAATGATAATAATGATAAAGGAAATAACAAGGGAACAGAATACAACACCTCACCACCCGCTGACCGATAACTCGCCCCCCAAGCCCGACCAAGCTCCGACCGATACCTCCTCCAACCCTGCAGTCTCCCAGCCCTTCCGGCTAACTCCCAGTTACATCCTGGGCATGACGTGCTGTGGTATGGAATACCTCTTTGGTCAGTTTGGGTCAGGTGTCCTGTCTCTGCTTCCTCCCAGCTTCCCCTCCTCCCTGGCAGAGCATGAGGCTCACAAAATCCTTGGCCAAACCAAAACATCTCTATCAGCTCTGTTCCCGAGCCGAAAGTCAAAACACTGCACTGCACCAGCTACCAAGGAGGAGAAACATGCTGACTGCTACTGCTGAACCCAGGACAAAGTTGAACCAAAGCACCCCACAGTATTAAGTAGACTAATGATCAAATTCACAAAATTCTTCATGCTTCAATAAGAAATTGGTCCACTCAGACTATTAAAGGAACAGCCTGGATTGTCATTGTCCATAAAAGTAATTCCTAGCAAGTAGCATTGATATTATATAAAGACAGAAAAATATTCTAGCTCATTGTTTCCAGTTCCAGGCTTTCTTTCTGTTATTACACT